TGTCTGTGTGTGTCACTGGCCACTCTATTAGGTATACTTATTCAACTGCTCAGTAACACAACTATGTAATCAGCCAACCCAATGTGCTCAACACAGGAGCAACTTAGTGCTGTTAGGCAAGTAGACGTGGTCAGAATGACATGCTGAAGTTCAAACAGAGCTTCAAAATGGGGGGAAAATGTAATTTAAGTGACTTTGAATGTGGCATGGCTCACGATGGAAAACTGGAAAAATGTTAGCTGGTGATGTGAGGGTAGGGTCAGAATTTGGCATAAACAACATGAAAACATGCATCCATTCATCCTTTGTACCAACTGTTCATTCTGCTGGTGGTATAATGGTGTGGGAGATATTTATTTGGCACACTTTGCGCCAACTACTAACTGTTTAAATGCCACAGCCTACTAGAGTATTGTTGCTGACCGTGTCAATCCTTTTATGACCACAGTGCATCCATCTTCTGGTGGTTGCTTCCAGAAGGATAACATATCATATTGCAAAGCTCAGTCATCTCAAATTGGTTTCCTGAATATGACAATGAGTTCTCTGTACCCAAATGGCCTCCAGTCACCAGATCTGAATCCAATAGAGCACCTTTGGAATGTGGTGGAATGAATGATTTGCAGTGCAGTCAACTCGAAATCTGCAGCAACTGTGTGATGCTATCATGTAAATATGGCCAAAAAACTCTAAGGAATGTTTCCAGCAAGTTACTGAATGTATGCCATGAAGAATAAAGGCAGATCTTAAGGCAAAAAGGGCTCAAACCCAGTACTAGTAAGGTCGTATATGCCTAATAATGTGGCTAGTTGGCTATATGCTATATAGTTGACTGTATAGTTCAACGACAAAATGTGTGTTCAGTGCTTTATTACTAAGATAAGATTCAGTATACTTTTCTTATCCCAAAGGTTGCGAAATTTCTTTGTTAAATTAAGCATAATCTCAAATGTATTAGCTTAAATATGTAGAATTGTATATAGTTAAATAGTATCCAATATAATATGACAAAACACCTTTCAATAAAGATGAAAACTAACTTTAAAATAAAAATAAAAAATGCAATAAAACAAAGAGAAGTAAACCTATAAATCAAATATTAAATGATTGTTAATAATTATATGAATTATTTAATTAAATAAAAGCTGATTAACAAAGTGATATATGTGTGTGTCTCAGTTTCAGTTTCAACATAAACAATATAAAACAAATAAAAATGCCTTATTAAAAGTATACAAATCAAATACCAGATGTCATCACAGTGGCTGAATATAGGATTTTAATGTCGCAAAAATGGCTTAGTAAACACAGAGTGTTAGCATACTATTATACTGTGCCAGACAGGTTTGTGTGTTTTGCTGTCTTTTTTATACACAACTTCTGTCTCTAGTTATTTCAGTCTATTTCAGTTTATGATACCTGTAGCCTGTAATGGTTATTACAATTATTAAATTAAATTTGTTGCATTATTCTGTACCTACATTTAAGTATAAGCAAGTATGCTTGTCAAAGAAAGAAATGTTTTGTGCCGTAAAATATTGACTCAATATTTGCTTTAAATCCCCTTTCTCAGCATGTCTTAGAAAGCCCAAACATATTCTCAGTTCAAACGAGATTGGTGATTTGTTTATCAAACACAAATAAGTCATTTGAAGTCCTATGAATTGGCTCAATTTAGTGCAGTCTCAAGCCAAGTGATCACAGAATGCAAAAAACCCTTTGTATGTACAATATTGTCATGTGTCCCACCATGCTGCAACTGACTGACTGACCAAGGCCAGGCTATTCGCATGCTGGATGCTGGCATGTGTTGCTGCAGTCTTGTTCACGAGAGCACCATGTCTGATCGAGTGTTCTTGGTGGAAATCTGACTAGATGGCAGTATCGAGATGAGGCGCTCCAGTCTTTACTTGTCCCATTCTTGCAGCAGTACACCAGCAGCATCTCTTTCAGCAGGAAAATGCCCAAACCCACACTGCCAGAGCCATGCAGGCCTTTCCATATTAGGAGCATATGCAGGCATTCCCTTACCAGCATTCAGTCTTGTTATGGGTGATCGTTTGCATCACATAACCATCTTCAGGTACATTCTCACTACTAGCAATGTGCTTGGTTTAATTGAGGGTGGTGCCTGGTCAGCGCAGCCAGGAAACATGACACCACTCACTTAATGTATATTAAGTGAATAATTAATGTACCGGTACCTAGACTGTTCTCACATGGGACCAGCATATAGATTTTGTACTTGCAATCTGGCTGGTTAAAGTTGAATATCTCAGATGCAGCTAAAATTTCAGGCCTGTAGTTTGTGTGTGAAAATGGCTTTAGAGCCATGTCCCCCTTGCGGTGAAAAAATATTCTGTAAATTAAATATATTCTGTTGAAATACTTATTTGTCTGATTAAAATTACACTTGTCTCTAAGCTTGTTGCTCTTTTAAAATTTTTTAATATTTTTGTGGATCGCTTACATAGGCCTCTAAAGCCTTTTTGTATCTCACCATTTTATAAATGCTAAATTAAATGTAAAAAAAAAATTGTTAACTTATTACTAGGCTTGTGTTGAATGAACAGGGTGGGGAGCTGGTGGCTGTACTGCGTGGGGCAAACGCTCCCATGCTTCAGAGGATGATTGTGGAGGAGCTAGCCAAAGAGAAGCTGGTCCTGGAGCAAGGTGGTGAACGCAAAGTGGTGAGGAGCTCATTATAGACGTGCATTCACACATATTTCTGTCAGAACAATAGAGTGTTTCTCTGCAGACATGCTGCCTTGTCACGGCTTGTTAAAGCATTAATATTAATTAATTTTTCTGTTCTAAGTAAAGTAGTCCATAACAACGTGACAGTAAGCCAGCGTGTATGTTACCAGTGCTGAAAGCAATGTGACTAAAATCAAATCAGTCTGTGTTTATTTTATTATTTACCCGTTTCGTTTTCCTACAGTAGTATTTCAGAATTGCTTCTGTGGATGATGGCTTTTAGCCACTTAAGTCAAGCAGCAGAAAATATATCAGCAGCTTTTTTTTTAGGCGTTTCTTATTTATTTTTCGACATTTAGAGTAAAAATAAAGCCTAATAACCACCAAGTTCATGTCAAAATCCTGTCAGTCTGACACTAATAGTTGTGTATGAATTAGTCTTTTGCTGCATCTCAGGGCAAAACAGACAGCCTGCACTCTTTGCACTGTCATTTCCAATAAGTATGGTTTAAAAGGCTACCAGTTGAATGTATTACATTTATTTATTTGTAGGTTATTTTTATTAGAATTTATTAGTCGCTTGGCGAGTTAAAATAACCTGTACAGGGCCCTAGGGAGAAATTGGCATTTACTAATAATTTCTGGACTTCAGAGAGCAGTTGGTTTTTCTGAAAACAGACGTGTAATGAAGTCGAATATATATTAAATTGTATCCAGCTAAGTAAAGATTTTGTTTTAATGACATTTGGAGCAAAAATAACAAACATTTCCCGGTTAGAACCTAATGCTTTACTGGTTTTTTTTCTATATCTTATGTGACTCTTGGGTGGAAAATAAAAGTTATAAAGCCACGTTAAATAATACTAAAGCCACCATTAGCCATAGCTGTAGTTTATACACACATATGTAAAGACAGTCATGTTTAGGGATTCATTATTTTTATTTCCTTTGTTGTGTCTTTGTTAGGTGAAAGATAATGGTCTGACAGATGAGGAGAACAAAGAAGAGGAGGAGTTGCCACAACATTTGGAAAATGAAGAAAGTGTAATTGGTACTGTGGAAAAATATAATTGGCAGTATTTTCAGTGCTGATGTTACTTATCATTGGTTTTTCCTGTTGATTCTGTGGAATATTTTGCATTCTGTCAGAATTACAGATCATCACTCAAGCTCCTCTCTTCTCTTGCAGTCCCTGCCAGTAAATCCTACACAGTTGCCATCATTAAACCAGACGCCGTTGCTCACGGCAAGGCAAATGAGATTATTATGAAGGTACATAAAGAAGATCACTGCTCACATTGGGAGAAGAAAAGATTGTCTCAAGCTTTCCTGCTGATATTAATTCATTATGTTGATGCTGATATTCTCCTGGATAGATTCAGGATGCTGGCTTTGAGATCCTGGCGCATGAGGAACGCACGCTAACGGAGGCTGAAGCTCGAGATTTTTACCAACACAAAGCAGCAGAGGTGCGGTATAGCGAAATAGAGGGGAATGGTATAGAATAACAAAAAGACAATTCTTCTCACAGACAGAGGCTTATTGCATAGATTGACATTCAAGTCAAAGTGAGGAAAACTGATGATGATGCAGTGAATGTTTGTGATGTTAGCCAGGGCCATTAATATTCTGAGTCAACATACCGGTAGCAGAGCAGTCACGACCAGTGCAAAAATCATTCAGTTACTTTGCTACACATGACACATCCATCTGCATTTTAGCACGGGGCTCAAAATAGAGTTGCTGTGTAAGCAGCTTTTTTTTCTATTTTGCTTATGGTGCTGTTTTTGACGAGACCAAATTGTTATAGATACAGAAATTTTAAATATGTGAGAAAAGCCTGGGAAATACTACTGCTGAGAAAATAATAAATGGGCATGAGTTGTATATGTATTTGTTTTTGCAGGTTTTGTATTCAGTGCATTAACATATGTGTCTGTGTCTCGCCTGCTCTTTGTATGTGTTGGTGGTTTGTAGGCGTGCTTTGAGGATTTGGTGCAGTTTATGTCCAGTGGTCCCTTCCATATTCTAGTACTCTCTCAGGTAGAGGGATCTGCAGCCGTTGTACCGGCATGGCGTGAGTTTATTGGCCCAGCAGACATAGAAGAAGCCAAGAGAGAAAATCCAGAAAGGTTAGTTACTGGAAATTATGCATATGATCCAGTGTCATTAAGTAAATTATAATTTCTGGGAAGTACAACATTTGTTTGCAGCATCGACATTTATCTCTGCACTGCTGATTGCAACAGTGCGAAACAATCTGGAGTCTGGAAAAAGGAACAAAAAGCACATTGTTGCCTGCTCCATCAGACACACCCAAACATTATGCTTCTCTCTGGTTGAGCACCAGCTGAGCAACCATCTGGTCTCCTCTCCTTTCTCCCCCCTGGCTTCCTGCAGCTTGCGGGCACAATACGGCACAGAGACACTGTTCAACGCAGTGCACGGTAGTGAGGACAGCGACCAGGCCAGCAGGGAACTCGCCTTCTTCTTCCCCAACTTTCGGACGGCCTCGGTAATGGAGCAGGATGGGGAGGAAGAGCATGTGGAGAGGACACTGGCTCTCATCCGCCCCGACGTTGCCAGGGAGAACAGAGGTGGGGCTCATGCCAAATGCACAAGTACACACGTGGGCAAGCACAGATACACCTTCAATAACAGCTCATATTAACAGCGAGACTGCTCCTTGACTCCTTCACCAAAGGTGTTGAATGACACTGTACAATGCAGTGAAAATGCACATGCTTATTTTAGGTAGACTGCTATGTTTTCTTTTTTATTTCATATCCCTGATTTTGCAGAAGAGATCTTAGATCACATCCACAAGTCTGGCTTTATAATAGCGCTTCAAAAAGAGGTGATGCTGTCAGAGGAGCAGGTCAGACAGTTTTACTGTCAACATGTTGAGGAGGACTACTTCCCTGCACTGCTCCAAACCATGACCAGGTAACTTTCAACAAACTGTATAATTAATCCAGAGATTTTCTTGTTTTGTTTTGTTTTTATATTCCAGATGATTATACAACAAGTGTATTTTTACAGTGGGCCAGTGCTGGCTTTGGCTCTTGCCAGAAAAGGGGCTGTAAGTCATTGGAAAACCATCCTCGGTCCTTCTGACATCAATAAAGCCAAAGAGGAGAGTCCAGACTGGTGAGTAATGTGCACCACAGTGAGGAAAACTACCAGTAGAAAAGCAGTGAAGTTTAAAAAGCTAATCTACTGTCTGTCACAGATTCTAACAGCTTGTTAGAGAGAAGTCGGCACTCTTTTCACCTCTCTTTTTATCCTTGTCAAGAAAAATTACAAAAAGAGCCAAACAACACAAAATCAGCTAGATAAGTGGTTCTTAAAGTTGGGTGCAGGGACTCCCTGGGTGTCTTTGAGTCTGATTCTGTCTGATTCCATTGCAGTCATTGAAAATGGAAAGGGACGGGCATTTATAAAGCACTTTCTAGTCCTGCTGTCCACTTAAAGCGCTCCAGACTGCAAGCCAAATCTAACCACACATTTACAGAGATTTAAACACATTTTCTCTCATACACTTTCATCCAGCTCACAACCATGACCAGTTTAGAATCACTTATTAAATGTAAGTATGTTTTTGGACCCTGATCACACTCACACTCTTGGGTGAGGTATTTCAGGCATGTCCCACCGGGTGCAGGCCCCGAGGCAGACCCAGGACACACTGAAGAGATTATATCTCTCGGCTGGCCTGGGAAAGCCTTGATGTTTTGGTCTTCTCTGCCTAGGCTGCTGCTCCTGTGACTTGGCCCTGGATAAGCAGAAGAAAACAGATAGATGGATGGAATTGAATTTTAGCTCTGCAAATATGTAGTCAGTCATTTTACACTCCACTGATTATAAATAAACAATTTTTCTGAAAAGTTGATGGTAGAGGGGCATACTGGGAAATATATCACTCGTACTTTCTGACTTTGCTTTGATTTGTGCAAAATGTGTATACGACTTGTTGACATCCACTATGACTAACTAAAAACAACTTTTTTTCTTTATATTTTTATAGAGTAGATCGTTGGAAAAGCAACATTTTAAATTATGTTTTAAAAGTCAAAGAAAAGAAATGACTCTAAAGAGGGAAGAGAGCAGGATGAGTATACTTTGGATCTGAGTAGTGTTTTCTGTTTTTTTGCTGAGTAGTTTGTGTTTGAATGAGGAATTATATAAATGAGTAAATTGACTGGTTGTTACATAGTGCTTTTCTACTCTACTGGAGCACTCAAAGCGCTTTATACAACATGCCTCATTCAAGCATCCATACAAACACTTTTTTATGCCTAAGTGCTTCCTATCTAACATTCATATACATCTGTACTTTGATGGATGCACTACCGACATTTCAAGTGCATGTTTGGTACGGTGAACCCGTCCAGTCTGTGAAGACCTGTGGCTTATGAGCTTCTCTCTTTGGCTCCATACAGACATTACAGTGTCTTTATGCTACTTTAGCAAAGCTAAATCTGTTTTGGGATTGTGGTAGCCTCAGTGACAAAGATCTTGAGTTTATATAAGCTTAGATAAATTGTCCATTCCCTGACCCATATATATCTCCTCCAAGACATTGTTAAAGGATTAACATTTTCTTTTGCAGACGCATGAACTATCTGTATTTATTTTCAAACAGCAGTGCTTTGACACAATTAAATATTGTCTGTTGTCTTTCTCTGTCTGCAATGCACCATATGTTTCTGTGCTTTCTAACTGGAGTGGAATCAAACAAGGCAGTCTGAACAGAAGTGAAGAAAATGACAGTTAAATTACACAAAAATTACTCATTAAATTACATCCTTTCCTTTGAAAATAATTTCTGGAAACCATCAATACTTTCTTTTAGACGTGGATAGTGCCAGACAGTACAATCACACTTGTAATTTTCTTCTTTGTTTCCCTCGTACTCAGTCTAAGGGCCCAGTTTGCAGTGGAAAATAAGCCTATCAACCAGCTCCATGGCAGTGGAAGCCGCGAAGAGGCAGAGCAAGAGATCAGCTTCTTCTTCCCTAAACAACAGACTGTGGCAGTGATCAAGCCAGATGCAATGGAGGAACACAGAGGTCTTTTTATGTTCATTTGTAATGACACAGAAATGCTTGACATTACTTTTGTTTTGACATATTTTTCATATATTTTTGCTCCTCATTCTGACAGAGGCTATTTTGGAGGAGATTCGTGGCCGAGGTTTCTCTGTAACAAGGCTAAAGGAGACCGTGCTGTCAAGGGAGATGGCTGAGGAGTTTTACAAAGAGCACAGAGAGAAGCCTTTCTTTAACCAGCTGGTGGAGTTCATGTGTCGGTTAGTCTGCTCTCGAATACAGCCACCAGAGCAGTGCAAAGTGACAGCATACCCGCCCTAATTCCTGCTGCCACTCCAATTTCTAATGGCACTTTTAACAGTAATCTTAGCAGCTAAGAATCAAGGCAGCCTCAGGCGAGTGGCTGCGAAGTGCATCTCAGTTTCATTCTTTGTCCCACATCGCACATCGAGATTTTAGAGCTATCTTCCGCTCCGATTAGCTCCTTCACTTGGCTGTTACACAACTTTTTGGACAAAATGAGAGAGTTGAGTGCAGCTGGTCACAGCAGCCTGAAAAAATGTCTTCAGTGCCTCAATATTAGCTCAATTTTAGCCTTAATTATGGATTAATAGTATTAATATATGCAATAAGGATGGCTATCACATGAATCTAGAGCTCCTCCTTGAATAGCTTTTATAGAGCTCCAGAGCGTCAGTAACAGCTATTAACTGATACACATTTTTACGATATAATCTTGCCGGCCACATTTCAGTGTAAAGTAGTTCTAGCTACATTTTAAAATATAGTTATTTAAAGCCTAAAGAAGTAGCATCATTTAACCTAGATACCTGTTCTGGCCCAGTTTTAACAGAGACACCTGCACATCGTTTTTTACCTGCAGTGCACCATATTCATCCTTACAGTCAAATGGTGCTTGTTGTAACAATAGGAAGTCTCCCATTGTTGCCCTAGACAATTTAACTGCATTATTTTGTGTGCTATTTCAGTATTAAAATAGTATTTTGTCATGTTTGTTATTATATTTCAAGGTTCTATCAAAGGCAGCATACGAGGCCAGACTGAAAAGCTGGCCTCGTATATTTGGTTATCCAAACTTTCCAACAACCAGATGCATTCCTCTGTCTTTGCATGTTTGTAATCATATTGCCAAACAAGATAGCTTTACAGTTAGACAGTCCTTTCACTCACTGTGGCATTTTCATTACAGCGTGTAAACATCCCACAAATGTTTGTTTCAGGGGACCCTGTATGATGCTTGTCCTCACTAAGGAAAATGCGGTGGAGGAGTGGAGGGCCATGATGGGTCCCACAGACCCGAACAAGGCAAAGGAAGCGTCCCCGGAGTCTCTGAGGGCTCGCTTTGCTGCAGACATCCTCCATAACTCAGTTCATGGTTCTTCCAACGAGCAGCACGCGGAGGAAAAGATCCGTTTTATCTTCGGTGACATCAGCACAGATGCGGAGCTCACCAGTGACGATCCCATTTCAGGTGACCATATAATGAGTGTGAAAGTCTTTACCATCTGTCACACCATCTGGTTTCCTCTAAATAACAATTTGCAGCTGATTTTTTACATCGATTTTCTTGGTGTTAACTAAATTTTTCTTATCATACTGAAATAAATCTTTTTTTTGTTCATCTTTGGCTAAAGAGGAAGTAAAGGCTGCAGAGAAAACCAGAAATTATACAATCTTCAACTGAAGGGACTTGACCCTTTAGAGTCTGCACTTTTGCAGAATTTAAGTTGCTTTTGCATTGATGAGAAAGCCATAGAGTATTTTCATCACTTTACAAAGACAGGGATGAGGTATTGGTATCTGTATGTCTACTGACTTTATTAATGGCCATTTTTCTGTGTGTTAGTCAACAATGTAGCTAAAGAGAGACTGAAATTGGGACACCACAATTACTGTTTACTGTGAACACTGAGTAGATACATCTCTTTACAATGACAATCAAGATTACTTGCACAAGAAGAGGCGTCTCTCCTGACTGAGAGAAAACTAATGCCACTCATCTCCATAATGTCACAAACAGCTGCTGGAATTGCGATGCAAACTTGCGCTACAGCCTCTCCGTGTGTAGGGAATGAAGTAAATCTTGATTGAGTCATACCATCTCATACCTGCGGAGGAAAATTGCACCTCCAGTGTGCTGTATCTTTTTTCTGTTGCCATGTTTTTTTAATGCATAATTAGGATCAGGGGACAGAATCTTGAATCTGTGTGCAGCCCATGTTTGATAAATTCTGAACACTGCAACAGTGTTGTTCAGCAAAGCTGTTATTACTTATCAGCAATGATATTTAGAAGAGTTATCTTCAGCATCCCTCTTTATTTTGCAGATGACCCACAAACAGGAGGAAGCATCGATCCAGAGCACTCAAACTGAATCATCACACCTTGTGTTTTCTCTTCTATTATAAGCTTAATGTGTAAAATCGTGGGAACAACAGAGCGCCTGCCATTCTATGAATCATGAAATAAACAAGACAAATATATATCAGACTTTTTACACCTTTTGTAGGTGGCGTATCAAGACGGCACATTCAAGAAACACTGTAGACGTGTTCGCTTAATACCGCCGTCGACAGTTTGATGGCTCTCTCAGCTCACATCAGCAGCCGCGGGCTACGTGACTAAAACCAGGATAGTACAATCACCAAAAAGCGACTGACAATTTCAGTGTTCACAGAATCCTTTAGTGAGTACACTGTGCCACTATCAGTACCTTAGGTTGTCTCCTGTAATTTACTACCACAGTGCTGTGATAATATGAACAATATGAAGGTAGTATAAAGAGTGTTACTCCTGTTTATTCAAGGGGTGAGTAGAGGGGACCGTAACAGAGCAATTAGGCTCGAGTTTTTTCCTTTTACTGTAATTATTGCGGGATATTGCTTTAACAGTGGGACCTAAATTACACACTGAAACTACCTTAATGAGGTGCATGAATAAAGAAAATATCTAACAGCTCTAAAAAGCTACATAATTGTTAGTATTAGGTATTTCTTGCAGATCATTTGAAAAAGGATTTCAGAATTCAACCACCTTGCAACCTCCAGGACTGAAAAATGAAGGCAACATGGAAAAGGAAAAAAACTGCAGTTCCTCTCGAGACTTGTCCTCCCTCTTAAGGGTGGCTCCAAAAGTAAATCAATCCCCATAGCCTCTCATGTTAAAATTGCTGATTTCAGCCAATTAAATAACATGTTTTCAGCCTGGTATGAAAAATTGGTGTCTGGTGTCACTCACCATATGACAACCTGGATAGGCTTCAGCCCACCCACAACCCTGAGTGGGATGATCTGTTAAGAAAATGAATAAGGAACTAATGTCCCTGTTCATAGTAAATGCACAAGGGCAGTGAGAAGCTAAGGTTAAACTCACCCATTTGGGGACTGTTAAAGCTTAAATTTAGGGGCATGGCTACTTTTACTAACAGACAGGCCAACATATGCTGCTTCCAGTTTGTAGTGAAGGTGCCTAATGGAACGTCTCTAGTGGAAATATGTGACTCATAAGACGGCTTAGTATGTGGTAAAATTAAAAGATCCACAAAGGTTTTGCTCAGTTTTGGTGAGTGAAACAAATATTTTATCAGTCTCCTACTTCGCTCTAAATAGTTTATAGATGCTGCTCTAATCTAATCTTAGTCAATGAACTGGACTTCTTGCCCATCTTAGTTTTGAGTTTCAAAGTTAAACTTTGGTTGTGTTTTGTATTTGGAATTGTCTGTACTGTGTATTAGTTTATGGCTTATCTTGTTAAAAAAAAAAAGCCTTATCATTTGCTGATAATTTAGCACGCCACATTCATGTAAATTTGGTCATTTCTGGCTTCAAATCAAAAATTCATAAACTAACAGTTACATCACAGGTGGTAACATCCTTCTTTTACATACAGTCTATAAATTTAAAACCTATAAATGACTATAATCCAAGTTAATCTGAAGTATCTTGAAGGAGTTTAAACATGTAATCTGGCCACCATGCAATTTAAAGGATGTCAAAAGGATGGTAGAAAAAAATCTTCACATTTTCCTGTATTAGCAAAACAAAAAGATTTATTGTAGTTTTCACCCATTAAAATAACTTTCAACTCAGTGCAGGCATGATGTAGCTGAGATGTAGGACTAGGCTTTGCTCCATGGGCAAACCCAAAATATGATGGCAATAAAATTGGTCAATCATCGGTCTTTGTAGCTCCACTGCTTGTCCGTACTGGTGCCGTGGTGCTGAGCAGACGTGGTTTCGGGCGGAGTGTCCTCCCAGTCATTTGCGGCCTCCAACAAGATGGCCTCATCCATGTCGTCATCTGCAGAGAATGATCTCTGGAACATCTCCATGATGCTCCTCTGGGCAGGATCCTAGACAAACAGAAATAATCAGTGTGTTTTAAAACATAAATGTATATGTAAAAACTCTTAACAGCACTATACATTATTAATTTACATACAAATATACAGTTTACCTTGGAGTGGAAGCTGGTGTTTTCTGCAGTTTCCGAGAGGTTTGCCTCGGAAAGACCCACTTGCTCCAGGACATTCATCTTTTCCTGGATCATGGGCCTGGAATGATACATAAATAAATATCAGTCCAGCCCTTCACTCACTGTTTGTCACAATATGCACACCAGTCAGCCCACATTAACCCCTCCTCCTCCCTCTGCTGTTACAGACCAAGACTAATGAATGTTGCAGGAAACAGTCTGAATAGCCACATAAATGCCTGTAGTTGGGTCATACAGTATTTCCTCCTGATTGACACATACCATAGGTGATCATCAGCAGTTCCCTTGGCAACCAGGTAGTGAATGTTCACACTGCTGGTTTGTCCAATACGATGAACTCTATCCTCTGCCTGAATGAGAACCTGCAGTGGAGGAAAAAAGCTTTTTCCTTTATAGCAAAAAAGAGCAAAGGAGTTTCACAGCTTTAGAAAATGATTCTGGCTTTTCATTTAGCTGCAGTGACCCCAAAAGGCCAAAGACTCCTCAAGAAGAAAAATCGATGAAAAGACATTATTCAAGCTTTTAATTTATCTGCCGACAGCTGAAATTAAAGCACTAGTTTCCACCTGGAACTGAAGCTGTGGCTGAATATGTGCTTATAATGAGTCACATTTTTTCTGCATTCGACTCCTTTAAAAAAAAAAAAAAAAATCTAACCCGCATAAGATGTGTGCTTCTGGGAAATGTCTCCTTTCAGGTTTTGGGGGAATTTATCACATTGTGGGTATAAGAAACAGAGCGACATAATGTTTCGAAGGCTACCAGGAAAAAATAACCTAAACACATGGATGATTACTAAAACACACACTATGGCTGGATTATAACATATAATCTAATGTTATAATGTAATTTTGTGTTCTCTGTTACCAGAAAAACTGTGGTGTTCATGAAAGCGCAGTTCCTCTAAAGGCCACTTGAGGGTAGCTTAAAACGTGAGTCAATCCCCACAGACTCCCATATTAAAATTACTCTGCTTTAGAGATTAAATTAACACATTTATTGTCTTGTAAAGAGCAGATTATTATTTATTTTTTCTTCTCGGTAACTAATTTATCTTTTCATAACAAAAGTGCTTTCATATCTTATATTTTCAATTTCCTTTCCCTATTTAAAAGTTAAATGCTGACAACCAGTATTAATACAGTAGTCCTCTAATTTTCGGATTCAGCTTGGTAGCATTAGAACACTTCTTGTTCTATATTTGATGTGTGGGCCGAGAAGCAAACCGGAGCTTTTTAAACAGCGGGATTCCAAAATATTAAAGAATGGTGTTACTGACAGTGTCCTTTCAGTGACAGCGGAGTGTTTTGCAGGGACAGCTTTCCATGTCTCACCCCGGGGTTCCAGAAAAGCTCAGCGAAGATCACCAGGTCTGCAGAGTGCAGGGTTAGGCCCATATTAGCTGCAGTGATGGACAGTACCGCCACACAGGTCTTGGCTGAGTACTGAAACCTTTCGCACAGTTGCTGTCGCTCCGCTGATGGAGTGCTCCCATCAATGCGGATAAAACCGACATTCTGAGGAGGAAGTAAACCTTTGTTATTTTCTGAAAACAATCGCTTAAAAATAATGACTTATTGCAGCAGACCAAGATAAATCACCAAATTAATTAAATAATCCCATCCTTATTAAACTTGAAAGAACAATAAGTCATAGTAGTAGTGCTAAAGCTCAAATGTGCTCAGAGCCGCCCACACTTGTTCTCCACAGCTACTGAAGGACTTGACCCGTTTGACGTTTACTCCCACAAAAGATCTCATCTGAGTAACTGGTTTAAAACAAACAAACAAACAAACAAAAAAGTTAAACTTCATTCTTCTACGTCACAGCTGCATCACTTTCCACTACTAGCCCGTTGTGTGGGGTATCATCAGTATGTGTCTTCCTTACTTTTTTCCCCAGCTCGGTCGTGATATGATCCAGGACTAATTTATGATGGGCAAACACCAGAAACTTCTCCCTCCCACACTCCAGCATGTCTATGATGTACTCCCTGAGAGGGACAGAACAACATACTGCAGAGCTGAACCATTTCAAAGAAACATTGAAATATTCAGTCTTTATCTGAAGTCTTGGTTATCTCCAGTGCGGTGCAATCATAATGCTCTGACAAAAGATTCTCTTTCATTTTACATTTTAATCTCAGCGCTCATCAAATATAAGCTGATTCGACTCACTGATCCCCACCATTAGAGGGTCTGTACTTACATAATGGCTTGTAGCTTGGCTTCGGCTGTGTGGTTATAAAAGACGAGGAGGGCTTCCTTCTCTTCCATTTTCTGAAAAAGAGATAAGGAACATCACAAGATAAGAACTGACAGGAGATTCTGTTTGATGATTTGATAAGACTGCCATTACTCGGAGGAGTACTGTGATTATGCACAATCAAGCTCAGCGACTCACTCCCATCGGGCCGTATAAACACTCCAATGAGGCTGGACCGGAGAATTCTGGGTTGTTTAAAAGCATTTGTGTGCGCTTGAGGCTCGAGGACTGAGCCAACACATCTGATTACCTTGAGCTAACTAAAAGCTTCCTCGGCCTCTTCTTAGCAGATTTGTCTTTTTAGTCACAGTCTTTGTTATGAATTTTGTATTTTAGGAGCGTACAAGCGATACAAGTGAAGACATAAAACAAATCCTACTTTTGCAGATATTGTGATATTTTATAACTACTGAAATATACACTCAGGCACTTTGATTTTGACCTGCTTTTGTCTTCACTCTTTGTGGCACATTCAACAAAGAGCTGGAAACATTCCTCAGAGGTTTTTGGTCCATATTGATGCAGATTTTTTGGCTGTACAACCATAAATTACATGGTCAGCAACAATACTCAGGTAGTGTCTGGTTTTTAAAGGATGCTCAGTTGGTACGAAGGAACCAAAAGGGTTCCAAGAAAATATCCCTGACACTATTGCACCACCAGCAGCCCGAACCTATGATTCAAAGTAGGATGGATCCACGTTTTCATGCTATTTACACCAAATTATGACCCTTCTGTTGTCCTATTTTGCTGCACCTGTGAACTTTAGCCCAGTGCTGCTGTAGCCTATCTGCTTCAACGTGTTGTGTGTTCAGAAATGCTCTTCTGCACACCTTGGTTAAAAATGTTGTTACTAGTTATAATAAGGAGGGGTTATGGCTATGAGTGACTTCCTACCCAGTCTGGTCATTTCCCACTAACCTCTGACATCAACAAGGCATTTTCAGAGAACTGCCACTCACTTAATAATAAATAATCACTTTCTCCTTCTCAGACCATCCTCCGAAAACTGTAGAGATGGATGTGCGGGAAAATCAGGAGTTTTGGGAATACTAAGACCAGGCCAGCTCATCTTGACCATGACTATAAATGTATTGAGCTGCTGCCATGTGATTGGCTAATTAGATGAGAAGTTGAATAGGTACACTCAATAAAGTGTCCATTGAAAGTATATCCATCAGTTCTATGATTTCCTGATTATGTAGAAATGATTAGAAAACACAGTATTCAAATTCTATTACCTTCCCGGGTTTCAAAGGTTTCAACACCTATGACTTACATTGCGATGTCCTTTGGCCAGCTGCTTGGCTGCAGCTGACAGAGCAGCTTTCGTGCGGGTGTTGATCCCATCGATGGTCACCGTGACCACCTTGCGCTGTTTAGCAGGAAGCTGGGAAAGGACCTCAGACTTGAGACGGCGCAGCATCAGACACTCCTCCAACAACAGCTTCAGCTCTCCAAGATTAGAAGAGCCCGTGTAGTCCCAGCCCCAAGTTATCTGTAGGTGCAGTGAAGGGCAAAAAAATAAAAGAACAGGTGATAGTGGGAATGACTGGTGGAAAATCAAATGTGGCATGTAAAAGTTCAAATGTTATACTTAGAAAGAGTTGAATGTAAACTTTAAGATTTTTTCTTTCTTCTACAAAAATTTGCTTTAATAAAAGTCAAACATGTGTTTAAACACCAACACACCAGTCATAAGCTTACACTGGTTTTACAGCATGCACTAACTGTAACCTCATAAACCTGTTGTGTACTTGTCAGCAGTCCTATGAATTATTTAACCCATTTTGCAAATGCTAGACATCTCCGATCAAGAACTGGACACTTTACAAAGTAGGCGAGGCACAGATATATCTGCTGGCTAGTCTTCTAATAGTCTCATGTGTCCTGGAGTCACAGCCACATACAAGTAAACAGCACTAAACATCAATTAGTGTAGTAGAAATTCTTTATAGTTAACAGACTACCTGTCTGGCATCACAATAGCGGATCCCAAACTCATGGAAGCGTGGAAAGAGTGTCGGTCTGACGGCCAAAATCTGAGTGTACAGCTCAGCCGGTCTGGACATGGCGGGGGTCCCCGACAGGAGAATCACTCTCTTCGCTACCTGAGGATGGAAAGACGGACAACTCTGATCACAGAGAACTGTTTACTCAGTCTAGTCCATGGGAGCAAATTATATATTTTGATTTGATTACATGTTTTTAATCTTAGTGGAAAAATAACCATGATATTACGTAATAGTCGCATGGACTGTGGATTTTGCTTAAATTGTAAATTGCAGAGAAACAGATAATTGTCTGATGGCAGAAATCCCAGATCTGTTTGCCTTCAAAATTAAATCAATCGTTCAGCCAGCCTATGGGCTATCTGACACACAGATTTACTGAAATCTGGGCCTTACCTGAATTTTAATGAATTATGAGGGAAACCGTTCAAATATAATCTAATAACAAATCTAATTTGTGACCCATGCAAAGGAAGGAGGAAAAAAACAATCCCTATGGTGTATCTAACAAAATTATTAATCCCAGTAAAACATTAAATAAAAGTGAGAGAGAGAGAGAAAAAAAAAAAAGTACCTTCAGCAGAGGCAATGCTGCTTTACAACGAGCAGTCTTCATGTTTTTCAGAAAGTGAGACTCATCCTACACAGAACGACACGTCAGCGAGGATTTAGGAACCTTAACCTGAACATGAATGTGAACTGAAAACAGCCATGTTTAAATAATAAGCTCACCATGATGAGAACATTGAAGGGATTTCCTGGCTGCTGCTTGTCCATCCTGCTCAGCAGGTCATAGCTGATGATGTTGATCAAACCAGACCGCAGACTGTCTTTGGCCTTCACCACTACGTTGATGCTGTCAGGAGTCAAGGAGGGAAGCCAGCGTCTGAAGGCCTGCAGGCACAGATAAAGGTTCGTGTGAGAGAGACAGACTGAAAAAACACTCTCAAAGCATCAGGATTGGTCTAACTAGCACTGGGATCCCACCAGTTTCTTAAATTTATAGCCAACATTACTTTGTGAATAACAGCTAATTTATGTTTTTCCACCACAAATAATTCATGGTAACCACTGCAAGAGTGCTCCCATTGAAAAACAATCAATCATGCAGTTTAGAAAAACTGCCCACTGACAATTCGCTTACTCTCTTGCCATTCGCTTGTCAGCCCAGTTTAAACTCATTAAATTATAGCTCCTGTGCTGTGCTGTACATTTGGCCCAAAGCACAAGACTAACAGTGCAGATAAGACAGACAGAGGAAGTGTCCTTTAATGGGACGACATCCGGTGACTGTGATTTCAACCTCTGATAAGAGGACTGCGTTTCGTCCTATTTTGGGGCGGGAGGGGGGGCTGTGAAAGTGAGTGAAATTGGTTTTGAAAATGCACTGCTGCTGCAAGTTAAACAAAAAAAATAGATGCTACAGAACATAAGACACGGATGGTCACTGACACTAGAAAGTACTGAAACACAGGGACAAAGAGATGTTAATATTTCAAAGTCAACCATTTGGATTTTTTGGCTAGCAGACCAGTTGCCACTGGTTTTCAGTGTTCCCTTTTTGGCCTGCTTCCCTTCATTAATATGGATCACGCTCACGTTCTGCGTCAGTTGCTGTTCATCTGCTATAGATAGTTTTTTTATGCTAAATGGTCTGTATTTGTATAGCGCTTTACTTGGTCCTAAGGACCCCAAAGCGCTTTACACTATACACAATCATCCACACACACATTCACACACTGGTGATGGCAAGCTACATTGTAGCCACAGCTGCCCTGGGGTGCACTGACAGAGGCGAGGCTGCTGGACACTGGCGCCACCGGGCCATCTGACCACCAGTAGGCAACGGGTGAAGTGTCTTGCCCAAGGACACAACAACCGAGACTGTCCGAGCCGGGGCTCGACCCGGCAACCTTGCGATTACAAGACGAACGCCCAACTCTTGAGCCACGATCGCCCCAAGGCCTGAGGACACAACGACCGAGACTGTCGGAGCCTGAGATTTCTTTTTTCTCCAGTTTCTTCTATTCTTTAGAGGCTAATAACTCTTTGAACCACCTTGTTGGTGCAACAGTACAATTTTTTTCCCCTTTGTAAAATTGTGTTAACATTGGCAATTTTTGCAGACTGAACTAAAGAGATTGGAATAAATTATGATTTTTTGTGAATATGGTCTTTGTAGAGACAACAATGTTTTCACCCCAGTGTTGTGTAGCGTCACAAAACAAAGAAATCCTCTGGTCAGGTACAAGGACTGGGCTGAAAATGAAGCAGTTGATACCCAAAGAAAAACTTGGCAAGACCTTCAGAAAGCCATTTTAAAAATGACATCAAAGACTGTCTCCTTGGATGCAAAATATAAAGAAATGAGGGGTGACTCAAGACTTTTGCACAGCACTGTACCTAAGATTGCAATTTCCCAGTCTACTTTTCTTTGTCACAAAGAAACAGAAAACTTAATATCAATTTTATTTTTAAGTAGATAAAAAGCAAGCCATGTGAATATGTTTCCTGTGGATCTGGTAACAAATAACTGATGTTTTTCTCTGTTTTGAAAAGTTCAAGATGAAACAAGTAATCATTTAACTTGAAAAGAACTAATTAACAGTGCATTTAAATATTTGATTTCAGGATAAAAACAGTCAAAGGAAAGGAGTCAAATAAATACACCATGTATTAACACCTCCACCATAAATCAGTGCTTCACAGTTCTAATTATCAAACGCACCCATGAGACAAAGAAATGGAAGCATTAAA